CGGCCCCGCGGAGCCCCGCGGGTGGCATGGCGGGGGTTGGGCGCGGCCGGGCCAGGCCGCCCGGAGAAGGGACCGCAGGACAAAGCCGGCCGGCGGGAGCTGCGGCGGGCCCAGTCGGCGACCAGGCTTGGCTCCGCTCCCGCCTCCTCTGGGGGCGGGACTAAACGCCCCGCCCGAGGTAACCCGGTCCGCGCCGTTCTGCGCACCGCCCGGGGGTCCGCCCACCCGGGACGCCCACGCCGCTCCAGCTCCGGGGCCGGGCGCCCCTTAACCAGCAGAGCATCGCCTTGCTCCCCCGACCCCGGCTTCCGTCCGAGCCACGATGGACCCAGAGGGCAGCTGGCCACTGCGGTCAGGGAGGTCTGGCTGTGCCCTGGCCCGCCCCCTGCCTGGGCCCAATCGGCACGCCGGACTCCAGAAGCCCTGATCCTGGTGCCACCTCCGAATGCCCAGACGTGTGGAGCGGCAACCCTGGAGGGGCAGGGCCGGACGGTCCCCTGTGAGGGACCTCCTCTGCCCCAGTGTCCAGCCTGGGACATCCTGTGGGGGGTGGAGCGGGAAAGGGGCTGGGAGTTGCTCCGCCCCCATTCCCAGAACACAGGCCCTCATTGAGAGGCAGTTCAGAGCGGCTTTGTCCCCAGGAGTGCTCACAGGCCTGGACCCTGCCAGCTGCACTGGCTCCCTAAGACGGCCCCTTCCCCCTCCGAGTGGACAGCGCGGCGGGCACCAGCCCATGGCCTCACCAGCAGGGATAGCAGGCCACTGGGACCACCTGGGGCCCAAAGACACTCTTCACAGTGAAAACCCTTTTCTTCACAGAGCAGGTCTGTACAGCATTAGCCGCTAGAGGGTAGAGAAAGGAACAATTACAGGTGGACACAGTGTTTTAGGGTGGGGAAAGTCCATCAATGCCCTCACAAATGTATACTGAGAGCCAGTGACTCTGCCCCATGTGACCCAGGAACTCGAACTAGGCAGAACACCAAAGCTTACCATAACCCCCTGCCATGCACAGTCCTTTACAAAGCAGTTCATCTCCCTCACTGGAATCCTCCCACAACTCCATGAGCTAAGCAAGGTTGGGAGGTGTTATTATCAATCCCATTTTACAGATGGAGACACTAGGAAGTTAAAGAACTTGCTCAAGGTAATACAGCCAGAAAGCGGCAGAGGCAACAGCAGGACTCAGGTCTTCTGCATCAGGATTGATGCCCAGCCCTAGCAGCAGATGGTGCAGACAGTGCTTCTGGTGTTCTGGGGTGAGGGAGCCGAGACTTCTTGCCAAAGGTTCCTGCCACAGGAAGTTGCTGGTAGCTTGATGGACTGGCAAGAGAATGTACTCACTCCAGACAGTCATGAATGCAGCAGCAGAAGGACAAAGAGAGACACCTCTCAGCACCACCTACACAGCATACCGTGGCTATCCATCTCTTTCCTACACCATAAGCTCCGTGAGTCCAGGAACCACCTGTCCATGCTCACTGTTGTCACCCAGCCCTGGCATTAGTACTCAGTCATTGATAGTTGAATGACTCTCAGATGAAGGGCTTTGTCTCCTGTGCAAGGATGACTCTCCTGTGTACACTTGACCCCAGCTGATCGGTCTCCATTGTGTCTCTCTTTTTAGTAGCTTTAGCCTTTTCCTCCTCAACAGCTTCTTTTCCCCAGGAAAACTAAATCTCATGTCTTTCCTGTTCAAACCAACCAACCAACCAAACTACATGGTTCCTGAAAACCATCCCCCTCTAGCTTCTGCCCTGCTTTCCTCCTTTTCCCCCCAACTAGTTCTCCTCAAAGCTTCTGCCTCTGGCTGATGCTTCCAGCTCACAAGAGCACCTGGCTCTCACCAACATTATCAGTGATTTTCAAATTGCAAAATTTTAGGAAAGCTTTTTAGCCTAGGGGTTGGGAGGTGATTAGACTAGGACAGAGGATGGGGAGGGGGCTGTGGACCAGAGGAGAGAACTGGCAGTGCAGAGAATTCTTAATACCTTGATGGGGGACACAGCAGCCTGGGGATGGAGAGCTGGGGCTGCCTATGTCACCACAATGGAGCCAAGTCCTGAAAGAGGCCATGGGATTGGCAGGGAGGGCTTGGGTGTGAGGATGGGGGAGGGACTAGGGGCCCTGGAAGAGGCTGTTCGAATCTTCAGTCCTGGAAGGGCTTCCCTACACCTTCTGCAGGCAAGGGTATACAGCAGCATCCTTCCCTCAGCAAACCAGTCTCTGGGCCTCCAGCGAGGAGAGGCACTTCCCTGGAAAAGAGGAGGCAGAGTACTCTGTGATCAGATGAAGCAGAATATGGGCTTTGCCAGTAGGAGGCTCTCCCCAGGGTGCCAGGAGTATGGTACTAATGGCAATTAGAAGCTAACATTGCATATGAGTTCATCTTGCACAGGTGAGGAAACCGAAGTTGGAAGTTCGTTCCCCCAACTCACACTGCTGGGATTTGCAGCTGAACTTTTATGACTTCAAAGCCCAGGCCCTTCAGCGGCGCCACCTGACTCTCTAAACAAGTCTAAAACACTCAGTGCTATGCCTGGCATAAAGAGCATGTACTCAGGGAAACCTTGGTGCCCAACCCTTATCCCTAGCAGGAGTCTGCACGTGGTAGATATCTGGAGTTGGGGGAAGCCAGGGGGAGGGGAAGGGCTGGGACTATGCCTGTGACCCAGTTTGGGTTTGGCCTGAGGCTATGGTGGGAATGCTCTGCTGAGTCACCTCGCTCTTGCTCTCTCGGGCTGAATGACCAGCCCAGGGCCTCTCCCAACCCCTTCCATGCTCCTCTTCCTATCAGTGTAGACTGACGCAGGCCTGGACATTCCTGAGTCCCTTCCTTATCATCCCAGGCCTGGGTGATGGCGCCTCCACCCCTGATTCTCCAGCCCCTCCCTGCTGTGTAGCCATGGAGGTTTGGGTCCCACTTTTGTCTGGCTGGTGGTTTAAGTTGAGTCATTCCAAGCTAAGGGAAACTCCCTTCCTTTTCTAATTCCTGCCTCTGGTCAGACGGTGCTCTCCTCAGGAGAGCACTCCAGGCTACCCTGCCCTCCCTTTCTCTTTTCCTCCCTGTTCAGCCTTTGGAAACCTAATTCCTGCAGAAAGGTAATTGCACATTCCTTCCCTCCGTAAATCCCTGAGTCCATTCCTCTGTTTGATTTAATATGTCAAACACTTTCTGGGGAGTCTTAGACACACTGATTCTCCCTGTTCACAACTGGGGTGAGCAAGGCCCAGCAGAGCACCAGAAACTTGGCCACGGTCTCATGGCTTAGTTGGGGACTAAAGAAATTCAGGTCTCCTGGCTCCCACTGCCCTGGAATAAACATCTCTCCCAAATCAGAATGCTTTTTCTGTCGTCTAGCTTTAATCTTTCTTGCTGTAAATGAAAGACTGTGTCTCCTGTGCTTGTCCTCTTGGTGGGAGGGACCTATGGGTGGAGGATGGGTGGACAGTTGGTGGTAGGGAGCACTCTTCTATGTAACAAAATTACACATGTACCCCCCCATCTATACAAAAAAGGAGCACTCTTCCCCAGAGGGAGTTTTGCCAATGCCTTTGTAGACTGCCTCTCCCAGAATGCCAGCCTTCTACTTGTTTGCAGCGTGCTCAGGACAGTTTGGGCAGTTTATGCAGCTTGGGACTCAGGCAAGAAGTGGGTGTAGCCAGGCTGGCTTGGGTGGTACTTTGCGCAGTCCCCTGCTCAGGCACTCACTGGGTGGTCGTGGGAGCCCAGGCAGATAGGGCCTGGCCTCAGGAGCCTGACCCAGTCAGTGAGGTAGATAGGGAGGGCCAGGTTATCTTTAAATGGCACCTTACTCAGCCTGCCACTCTGCCAGCTGGGCAGGGTGGTGGCAGACAAGTGTTATTTTGGGATCTGAGGGCAAGGGAGGAGGAAGGCTCTGTTTATAGCTCTCCCCTGTCTGTCCCTATTCCCTCTCCTGGAAAGGGCTTGGGACATGGGCCTCAGTCCTCCAACTGACCTTTTCCAACCTAGGGTCTGTTTTCAGCCTAGCTCTGTTGACCATCTGCATAGATGGAATAGTGAATCTACAAATGCAGGGATTTTCTTGGCAAGACTAGTCTTATAAGGGTAGGTTTAGATGGTCAGAATTGCATTAGGCTTGGGATGAGAATAATAGTAGCTAACATTAATACTTACCATGGGCAGCACACAAAGTGCTTTGTATTCTATGGGGGGAATCCCAAAAAACAAAATTATTTTTTGGAGTGAGGGCCCCTTCTAGTACAGGCTTCCTCCCTCCTAGATAAGTGTTCTAAGAATATGTTGGCATCAGTGTACCAGATAGTGAGAGGCTGCATTTGGATTCAGTGATTCTTTTTTTTTTTGAGGTTCTTTCAACACATTTGCCCATTTCATGATGGGTGAGTTTTGAGAAGGTTGCAGAAGAAAAATCGAGAGTTGTGGCAAACAGGTGACTTGTTCTTCCATCATGACAATGTACCTGCCCATACTGTGCTGAGTGTTCAGCAGTTTTTGACCAAAACCAGCATGACTTATGTGCCCTACTCTCCCTATTCACCCAATCTTGCCCTGAGTGACTTTTTTTGGT